CCCCGTGCTTAGCCACACCTGCGACGACGTGCTCGCGCCCGGGGGGTCGTCATGCGTGCCGTAATGAAGAAGACGCGACGAAACGCGAGGCGCGGAAGTGACGCCCCCTCTGTCGCAGGCATGAAGAGGGGGGGGGGGCGGTACCCGTTCCTCGCATAACGACGTGATCATAACGTCACATTGCCGCTCCGTCCTCCTGCTGCAACAGTGGAATAAACCAAGTCCCTACTTTCAAAGTAATTTTGCCTCCCCCAATCCAGCATACCAGCGACAGACTATACCTTTTCTTATGAAATGTTAATTACACTCTTACTTCTTCCTCTTACTTTCTATGACTGATCGTCTAATAACGCTTGTCTGTTGCAGCGCCCCCTTCCGCGCCGGTCGTCACGGATGCCACCGGAGTGGAGATCGGCCCCACGGTCGTGGCCGGGCCCTTCCAGGAGGGATCCGAGATGCAGCTGTCGTGCTCCGTTAGTGGTGGTAAGTAGATGCCTGTGCCTTACAAAACCACTCACGTTGTTTTTCTAGGTTTTAGATGTGCACTGTGGAAAATACCGTCGTAAATTTACGATGTATATTAGAGTTAATATTTTTTTAAATATGTTCTAAATTTATGACCCCTCAAACTTGCTCGTCCATGAATTTCAAGTCGACTCACAGTGCTTGTAATTATACATTTTTAAATTGCAATTTTACGACACGCCTCAAGGGAACTTTTCTACCCCTTTTTTCATAGTGTGGTTTCTCGGTACAGAACAGTTTTTAACACAAGGGACTCAATCAAAGCAACGTAAGCGTGAATGTGAAAGTCAATCGAGTTCTCGGTGCCATCCGATTACAGTGCCCGTGTTCGTCGACCCGAAAGACTGTTCCGCTTTGTCGCGATCAGTGCAACGGCAGAGACTCTTTCATGCTTGCATTTTCCCATTGTCTGAGAGTTCCAAGAATTTTTCATCGACTGTAAACGGCGCAGCGTGTTTGACAAGTCGTGCGCGCGCTGCACCAGTGAGGGTCTCCCCCACCCCACGCCACCGCCCGCCCTGCCGCACCGCCCCCCCGGGGACGAGGGAAAGGCTTTTGATGTCTCGGGTCGCCTTGCTCCGCTTGTTATAAGGCACCTATTACGGCCCAACGATGTCTTTAGCCGGAGCACTACTTCATTCTGTTTGCACCGGCGGCAGCGGCGGGTGGAGGGGCGAAAATGAGGTTTCAAGTAGCCTGTGGAGCCCGGCGGGGCCGCCTCCGGCACCATGACGGGGGCCTCCCTCTGCCCGTAGGCCGTCCTCTTGGGCAGGACCGGCAGGAGGCCCCACTGCCGGGTTCGTTGCGCAGCCCCCTGCCGTGCCCCGGTGGGACGGGCGGGCGGGACGTAGACGTCGCTCTAGTCGATGGCCCGTGTAGCGGCCGTTAGATGGCGCCGAGCTGCTCCCAGCCCCCGCCGCGTCGGGCTCCGATTTCACAAAAGGCGGCCAATTTGGTGTGTGGCGTGGCGCGACGCTTCGTAGTAAACCCGATCCTATTAGAATTTACTACAGACTTACTAGTTGCAGTTATTACTTTACATTCAGCAAGAATTTCAATAATTTTTACTTTTTAAAAATTATGTTAGAATTTGGGTGGGTGTAGTTTTCTGGTATGTTTGATGATACCCTGGCTGATCCTTTTAACGCACTATTTTTCCTCCTTACCGGGACTTGAACTGCGGACCTTTGACTCAGAAACCCACACCCTTGACCATTCGCTTACGGGCCCACCTCGGGAGAGTCACGCGCGCACCCAGTTTGATGCCACTGCTGCGAGACCATAGGTAGAGGAGGCAAAATTCTTCGTATATATTTGTTATTTCATACTTCAAATCCTTTAAATGTCCTCATTCAACATGAACGTGTAGATAGCAAGCTATGGAAGTGTTCATGCTCCAAAAAACTTAAACGATGCTTTGAGCGACATTTTACAAAATACCATTTAGTAAAAATTACTAGACTCTCAAGTAAACTTTACTAGAACCAGTTACTCTACCTGTGCTAGCATATAATGCCGAAATCTCTTTAGTAATAATAACTAGCAGCCATTGAACTAGGATTAGTAAAGTTACTCCTATTAATTTTTTTAGTGCGCGACGATATTTGGAAAGTGGCTGCTGTTGTATGTTTCTTTCTGTCAACAATGTCTTTGGTCATCTTCTCAGCATCGCTTTGCTAACGCGGTGTCTCTCTCTCGGTAGGCCACCCTCGGCCCGAGGTGACGTGGTGGCTGGGCGGCACGCTCCTGGACGTCGACGTGGAGACCAAGTCGTCGTCGGAGACCATCAACCGGCTGCGGGTGCAGGTCACCCGGGAGCACCACGGGGCGCTGCTGCAGTGCCGGGTGGCGCCGCTGCCGGGGGCGCCCTACCAGCACCGCGACGTCCAGATCAACGTCTATCGTGAGTGTCAAGTGAAAGTGTAGTACTACTTCTCTTGTGTCGTGAACTTTAAACGTGTTGGAATCCCAATCATTTTATTTTCTCCGGGTTTGCGGTTCAGATTAGGGAACTTACAGTTCCGCCTCCGTATCCGATTGTTGGACAAAATCGTGTGGTTACTCCGATTGGGCTGCGATAAAGGAGGCATGCGGTTCGTTTGTTAGAGGCTTTCAGAAACAAGTTATTTATCCGTCGTGTTATTCGCCGACAGTGAGGGTTGTGTCGCCCCTGCAGCCGTCGAGTCGCCCATAGCCCCAGCCGCTCCCTCCAGCCTCCTCCCGCCCTGATGTGTTGGAGCACAAGGTGGGCTCGTTACGGGCTGCTCCGCCCGAGCCGCCCCGCCCCACCGCACCACCGGCCGTCCTCCTGTATTCGGCCCGCATATGCAAATTTGGACCGGCGCCAAAACCGAATTGATCCAGTGTTGCCAACTAATAGGACCGGCCGCGGCGAGCAGCTCCTGGGGGCCGCGTTGTGTGAGCCGTGTGCGAGGAGAGACGAGCGTAGTATCAGAAAGAGGAAACGGGATTATTGGGCCAGCGCAGCGCTCCTCATTACCTGGGACGACAAACAAAGGCTCGCTCGCTCTCTCTCTCTCTCTCTCTCTCTCTCTCTCTCTCTCTCTCTCTCATACACGTGCTCACTCGCAGACCCTTGATTATCGGACCATATTATACAAACGGCGGGGCACGTGGAATACATAAGCCCCCCCCCCCCTCGGCGCGCTCACACCCTTCCTTGTGCGCCTCCCCCCTCCTCCCCCCTCTCCCGGGGCAGCGCTGCTACACTATAGGCGCCGCCGGGGCCCTCAGGGTTCTATACCCCTTCTATCCCTCCTGCTCCACATCCCTTCGGCCAACACCACAGCGAGAGGGGTCTTCGTCACACACGTTACACTAGTACACACTCGGCCGCTTCGCCGCCGCCGCTGCCGCTGCTCCTGCTGCTGATTGTATGGCTCGATATGGCTCCTCACCCCTCCACTGTAACGCATGCGTAACGGTGTTACACGAGCGTTACAGTACGTCTCGCGCCGATACACTGTCCGTGGACCCCGCTGCTGGCTATATGCTTGCTGATTGTCGGAAGCATCCTATACCCCCCACGTCCCTCCCTGTAACGCTTTGGCCTTTGGTGTAACTCACGACGAGGCTCACGCCTCTACCGGATCTATCAGACCGAGGAGCACAAGATCGGCCTTGATGATTGTGGGTAACAGGTAGCGGCTCTTCCCCTCGCCTCCCCCCTCCCCCTCCCC